TCATATTAATGTCATTTACTGTGAAAAAATACAGTAACATGTCTTTTGCTCTAATGTGGGCAGTAAAAGTTTCAGTTTCACTCCATCCCCACATACAAACGTGTGATGTAAACCCGCCTTTTCACTGGTCAACAAAATTTTGATCCATTCTCCTCGAAACTGCTTAAATCATCTCCTCTGTTGCTGTGTGGCCTTGATCATCTCATCCGAACACCTGAAAGCCATTTATCTCCAAAAGCTTGTCAACAACACCATCACGTTTGCAGCATCTTATCTGCCTCCCGCAGCTTGATGGCACCAAAGAATCAAAGGAAACAAAATCCAGATCAAAAACTTCCTCCCGATGCCTGGTGTGTTTGACATTTAACTAGAAAAAAAGTGCTGGAGGGATTCCAGAAGTAATTGCACTTTTATTTGATGTTCATTGGATGCCGTTGCCAGTTGTGCTTCGGAGCCTGAGTGTTGGCATTCAGCCTGGTGCTACAAGGCGCAATGTTTTCACGGTTTCGACACGCCAAAGCGAAGTGACAGGAGATACACCACACAGGCACAGCAGATGCTTCCCAGCCTATGTTTATTGGAAAAAAAACAGACATCCCTGCTCTAATAAGACAGATGGATGAATTAATAGCCGCTATAATATTTCCTTGAGTTCACAGACGGACGGAGATGAGACCTGGTAGGTGATGAAGGGTTCTGGGTGAGCCGGAGGAGAGATTGCTTTCATTTTTAAGATGTTCAGAAAACAGGAGAAAGGACAGGACAGACAGGATGATAGGTTTGAATGAAAAAGTGGGTGATAGAAAGAGAGCAGGAGAGAATGAGAAAACGGCGCAGGGGGACACTGGGTTATAAATACTCACACAGTGAAGGTTTTTAATTGTCTCTGGATGGTTTTGATTTCACAACATTTGGGAGCTCATTTAGGAAGTTTAAAAGGGAGAATGGTTTATTCATGAAGCACTTGCAAACCAGTTGAAATGCCTAGTGAGTATTTAAAACAAAGACCGCAAACTCAAATGTCAATCATTAAATATGCTAAATTAATTAATGAATTAAAATAAGGTTAAATGGTTCATATAAATCTTATGGGACAAGTACTTTTCAATACCGTTCTTTGATAAAGTTTACAATATAAATCCTTAAAAAAGGTTAAAAGGGGGAAAAATAGCATAATGCCTCATTATAATTATAAAAAGACAGTTGAAGATGTTTTTATGAAACCTGAAAAAAATGATCTGAAAAGTCCTTCCAATCAAGACTTTCTTTCTTACTTTTTTGTTTGTCTAATTCACATAAATCAAGTTTAAATACAAATCTTTGGAAGACTCTGAGGTTTGTTTCTTAGGAAATATAAAAAAAAAAAACTTGCTTAAACAGAGAAACTCTTCACTATAAATCATTTTAGCTGCAAAATATCAAAATATATTGATAAATGCATATATATATATATTAGATATTAAACATGGCTATTTTATAACATATTTATAATTTTCTACAATATGTTTATATTGATTTTATTTTATATAAAAAAAATTCTCTCTTTTCTTTGTTATAAATACAGTTGAAGTCAGAATTATTAACCCCACTTTGATTTTTTTTTCCTTTTTTAAATATTTCTCAAATGTTTAACAGATTCAGGAAATTTTCATAGCATGTCTGATAATATTTTTTCTTCAGGAGAAAGGCTTATTTGTTTTATTTGCCAAAATAAAAGCAATTTTATAAAACCCATTTTAAGGTCAAAATTATCAGCCCCATTAAGCTACTTTGTTTTTCAATAGTCTACGGAACAAACCATTGCTAAAGAATAACTTGCCTAATTACCCTATCCTGCCTAGTTAACCTAATTAACCTAGTTAAGCCTTTAAATGTCACTTTAAGCTGTATAGAAGTGTCTTGAAAAATATCTAGTAAAATATTATTTACTGTCATCATGGCAAAGATAAAATAAATCAGTTATTAGAAATGGGTTATTAAAACTATTATGTTTAGAAATGTGTTGAACAAAATCTTCTCTCAGTTAAACAGAAATTGGGGAAAGAAGAAAAAAGGGGGCTAATAATTTAGGGCTAATAATTCTGACTTCAACTGCATATATATATATATATATATATATATATATATATATATATATATATATATATATATATATATATATATATATATATATATATATATATATATATATATATATATATATATATATATATATATATATATATATATATATATATATAAATAAATATTTACAGTATTTAATTTCATTTGTTTAACGGAAGTGCTCAGTGTGAGAAGTGTTTTATTTTGAATTGTTTACTATAATGGATATAAACGGATACACAGATGTAGATCGCACATGGTCACCGCGACGCAGCTGTGCGGTTTGTAACAGCCTAAAGGTTTAGCTTCAGGTTTAATTAGAGAACAAGGAACTGTCACTTCATATTTAATGTGTTTGTTGTATTTAGTTTGTTTTGTATATTGCATTTAAGTGATGTCTGTTTATTTGTATATATTGACTTTCATGTTTGTTTCACGGTTTGCTTACATTGTCTTACATCTTTGTACACAAAGCTCTTAAGGTGGGGTCGATTTTCTGGAGAATTGTGTGAATGCTGCACTCAAATAAATACTGGGAAAACACCAGTGAAAGAGTCAATCCTTTCTTTAGCCAGGTAGCTACACCATTTTGCCACTGATTATACAACAGCAAATTAATGTAAATAGACAAACACTTGCAAGGGAAAAATGATTTCATTTATAACCCTTTCATACACAAGTTTTAAAGTGGACCCACTGCACGACTTTTTTAATGTGACCATTATTTATAATGCATACTTTAAAGTTTCTTTGGCAATGCTTTGAATTTATTATGTGACACATCAGAGCTTGTTAATTTATTTATGTCATTTTTGTTTCTTTTTTCCCTATTCTGCAAACATTGATGACAAACATCCAAAATATAATGTGAAATATTTATTATTCCAAATACAGTTGAAGTCCAAATTATTTGCCCTCCAGTGATTTTTTTTCTTTTTAAAATATTTCCCAAATTATGTTTTACAGAGCAAGGAATTTTCCACAGTATTTCCTATATTTTTTCTTCTGGAGAAAATCTTATTTATTTAATTACGGCTAGAATAAAACAAGATTAATTTTTTTTTCTAACATTTTTAGGTCAATATTTTTAGCTCTCTGAAGATTTTCTATTGACTACAGAACAAACCATCATTACACAATGACTTGCCTAATTACCCTAACTTACCTAACCAAATTAATTTAGTTAAGCCTTTAATCATAAATCAAAGGCTTATAAATTGTTATAATTATAAATTATACTTGAATATATCTAGTAAAATAGTATGTACTGTCAACATGGCAAAGATAAAATATTATTAGAAATTAGTAATTAAAACTGTTATGTTTATAAATGGATTATAAATGGGGGGGGGGGCTAATAATTCAGACTTCAACTGTATGTGTAAGAAAGAACATGTATTTCATCTTATCACGCTAGTCTCAGAGTAAATACAGGAATCAGAGCGTGAAATTTGACCTTTTAAGACCTTTTTTAAGACTCTTTCCATACATTTAAGACTTTATAACCACTTTTCATCCAGAAACACTGGCAAGATTTTAACTTACAGTATATTTACTAAATATTAATGTAAGAAACTAGCATATCAAGCATAATGTCAAATCTAGTAAGATGTCATTGACTTCATAAACTACACAGCGTCCTGATATTCACAGAATTGATTAAGGCAAACTTTAGCATACAACTATACATTGCATAGTCAAAAATAATTCAAAATTTAATACCTTGCAAAATAGCATTTAAGACTTTGTAACACTTTTTAAGGGCCTTAAATTTCTCTACATTAATTGATCAACTTTTAATACTTTTTAAGACCTGCGCTGTTGGATTAGAGCTGCTGGATTTACAACCTAAAAAGTTTGAGGTCATGTTCATGAATTGTGCAATATTTTAATATATTGATTATTGAGACAAAAACAAACCTAAGTTGCAGCCTTTCATGGATCAGGTGATCAAATCAAAAATCACCATGTGCAAAATTGAGCATCCATGTGACAAAAAAGTCAGATTCTGAATGACATACTTTCCATTAAAATGAATAAAAATGCAAATAGCTTTCTTCTAGTTTCACAAGCCTTATCAGTTCACACCAGGTGAAAACAGACACCAAACAGAGTTAGATACAGAGACTTTCAGAAAGTTGTTAGAAAGCGTGGTGTAACTGTAGGCCATAATGTGGAAAAATGCATATGTACACCACACTGTGTCCAGCGAGAGCGAGAGAGAGAGACTTTTTAGATGTCTTTAATGCATCAAACGCACTTAAAGTTGTTTATGACCTCAGAAGGAGTGGGAGAAAGAGAGATAAAGATACAAAGACAGCATAAAAGCATGAGGGGGTGGAGTGGAAACATCGACACCACAGCGCTGACAGATAATTCAGATTTTGTTTGGTCGAGGACCACTGTTGTGTTTATGTACAGCAAACTCAAGTGGGAGGATGTTGTTTGAATGCTCGGAATACATAAAAGGCTTTTAATTTTCATAATCGTCCTTGATTCTGAACAAAAAAAGAAATGATGGGAAAATCGCAAGGGCAATTTCGCCGGCTCGAGATTAAAATACAAAAACATCAATCAATCATAATCTCGTTGTCTACTGATGGTCCTAAATTTATTTCCACTTACTCAGCTTTAAATATGACAGAAAGAGACTTTGCTTTCCACTTCCAGTGCTGTCCTACAAGGTGACTGATAAAACGTTGAGTAAATGAGACAAGTGTTCAGCCTCCGTATTTTATTCTAGACAGTACGGTTTTCATATTCAATTTACTCTTTTGGTTCAGTTCCATAAGCATTCATCTATGAGCCCAAATTCTCAACGATTCTCATTTATTTTTTGCTATCCAAGGCCATGCTAAGGGTAGAAATAAAAGATAAGCACATGCATAAGAACTCACTTGAGAGTGACGCAGCCGCTGCCAGAAGGTGGTGCTGTCCAAAACACCTGTATCCGCGTGCGTCTCCTGGGAATGCTCTCTGTGACGGCTGGAGGACAGTTGGTCATGAACTGTGTGTCGCTTTCATCAATGAGCTGTAGGACAGGGAACGTTGGCACTGAGGTCAGTATGATTTTCCGAAATAATGGTGAGGCAGGTTTGTTTTTGAAATGCACTTTGGTGCAACTGCGCTGTTAGCGCACCAAACTGAGATTTTGTTGATCTCAGTAAACAATGCAAATAAATGCGTTATGAATAAAGGACTTTACTAACAAAGTTACTTTTTTCAGTAGCGAATAATCAAACTACAGTAATTTCTGCTTCCCCTGTTAAAATGCCATTTCCGTTACTCACGATAAAGTGTTATAAAATTGCTGTATAATTAACTGAACTCAAGTTATATAGATATATATCAGCATGGTGGCACTGGCACAGTGGGTAGCACAATCGCCTCACAGCAAGAAGGTTGCTGGTTCAAGCCCCAGCTGGGTGAGTTGGCATTTCTGTGTGGACTTTGCATGTTCTCTCCGCGTTCGCATGGGTTTTCTTCGGGTTCTCCATTGAACCCCACAAGTCCAAAAACATGTGGTATAGGACAGGTGAATTGGGTGAGCTAAAATTGTCCATAGTGTACAGCCTAAGTCAGAATTATTAGCCCCCCCTGTTTATGTCTTTCCCCAAGTTCTGTTTAACAAAGAGAAGATTTTTTTTTAAACTAATTTTTAAACATAATAGTTTTAATAACTCATTATTTTATCTTTTACTAGATATTTTTTCTATACAGCTTAAAGTGATATTTAAAGGCTTAACTAGGCTAATTAGGTTAACTAGGCAGTTTAGGGTAATTAGGCAAGTTATTGTATAATGATGGTTTGTTCTGTACACTATCGAAAAAGAATACAGCTTAAAGGAGCTAATAATTTTGACCTTAAAATGGCTTTAAAAAAATGAATGACTGATTTTATTCTAGCCAAAATAAAACAAATAAGACTTTCTCCAGAACAAAAGATTTTATCAGACATACTGTGAAAATTTGTTAAACTCTGGTAAACATAATTTGGGGAAGCATTTTAAAAAGAAAATAAATTAAATGGGGGGCTAATAATTCTGACTTCAACTTTATGTGTGTAAATGAGTGTGTATGGATGTTTCCCAGTGATAGTTTGCAGCTGGAAGGGCATCCGCTGCGTAAAACATATGGTAAATAAGTTGGCGGTTTATTCCCCTGTAGTAACTCAAGATTAATAAAGGGACTGAGCCGAAAAGAAAATGAATGAATGAATGAATGAATGTATGCAGGCATTCCCAAATTTTTAGCCCATGACCCCCAAAATAACACCAGTGATTAACAACTTTCCAACAAATCATTACCACTCATATACAGTAAATCAAAAATAAATAAAAAGTAAAACCAAAAATGTACTTGCTGTGCTCAAATAAATGTGCCCATCCATTTTATTAGGAGATGTTCATGTTATATATGAATAAAGTAATAAATTACTATTAAAATTTGTCTGTGCTACATAGCACAAAATGTTTTAATATATGCATACAGATGAAGTCAGAATTATTAGCCCTCCTTTGTTTTGTTTTTTTTGTTTTTTTTTTCTGTTTTAAATATTTCCCAAACGATGTTTAACAGAGCAAGGAAATTTTCACAGTATGTCTTATAATGTATTTTCTTCTGGAGAAAGTCTTATTTGTTTTATTTCAGCTAGAATAAAAGCAGTTTTTATTAAAAAAATAAATAAATAAATTTATGGACAAAATTATTAGCCCCTTTAAGCAAATTTTTTTTATAGTCTACAGAACAAACCATCGTTATACAATAACTTGCCTAATTACCCTAACTTGCCTAGTTAACCTAATTAACCTAGTTAAGCCTTTAAATGTCACTTTAAGCTGTATAGAAGTGTCTTGAAAAATATCCAGTCAAATATTACTTTTAAAAAAATAAAACTTTTTTTTCTGGCATCCCAGCTGCAGGAAATAAACCGTAAAATTATGGGGTTTTTTTTTACAGTGTACTATATATGTATAATTGATATAAGTGATTATAGGTATAACATGGACAGGACTTGATTCTGTCTATAGGAATTAATTGCATTGTTGTGTCTTTTGGTCAATCTTATACGATTGGCATGTTGCCCCGCCCTCTCAGAAAGCAAATATGTGTCATCAGAAAAGAGACTACCTTTTGGGCAAATGAATTTTAAAATGTGATTTTCACAAATAAATCAGTTATAATAAATGCAACAATATTCCATTAAAAATGCCAGGCTGAATTTAAACAACAAACCTATAAGGTCAAACTTGAAACAACATGAAAATGAGCTCATACTCTTTTTCCGGCTGAGCTACTTCTTTATCAGATGAGGAAATCAAATCAAAACAAGAATAGCAAGAGTCTGATAGATTTTATTTTTGCTTCTTTGTTTCCAACTAATCACCAGACTAGTACTGTAAATGAGCTCAGTGCTGAATCTAATTTCATTTGTGGGCTAAATTGACTAACCATAAACAACAGGCTGTTTCAACATCTCTGAGTACAGAAGACAAATAGTTGTAACTTACAGTTGTTTTACTTCATATAAGAGCTTATGTTAACCCACAAGGCATCCTGAAACACTTAACAACCAGGATCAGCAACTTTTGGGGACAAATTATTTAAAATGATAAAAAATGCATCGCTGCCATGAGCTCAAATTAATTGGCTTTCTTAATCTACACCCAATAATAATGTTTTCTTTATCATTTAGTCATAATTTGATAAATGACTGCTTCCATGATTGCTAAGAATGTAATTGAAACATTCATTTTTAATAAACTTAATTCATTAAATGCTTTCCTCAGGCAGTGATGGTAAAAAGTTAATTGCACCAAGCAAATAGTAGAGTTTAGTAAAAGAAAGTGATATAATGAGCCTAATTTCTAAAAGAAAATGATGTGTTTATGCTAAAGAAGAACAACAGGGAATTTAATTGAACATTGTGTCTTTTTAAGATAGATTTTATTTTTTAGTTATTAAACAATATTTTCATTTGGTCGCAAATGGTTACCCTTGATTTTTGTAGGAAGATAAAATAAAATTATGAAATTAAATAAAATAAAATAAAATAAAATAAAAAAGAAGACTTAATGTCACTCTTTTATATCATATCCCACATGTTATTTTGCACATATCAATTTATATTAGGGCTTCACGATACTGGAGAAATTTTACATGCCGTTATTTTTATTTATTTTTTTTTTTTATTTCTCTGCAATATATATTGCAATATAAATGCAATTTCACCAATGTTTTAAATAGCTCTATTTAGAAAGACATTACTTTAGATTGAATGGGAGATTGTATAGGTTAGTGAAATTTAAAAATATTTTGATTGTAATTTATTATATACATATAGTATAATAAACGAACTATAGTCATAAACCCAATAGAGCAAATATCAAAGTAAAATAAACCGAGAGAGAATAACAGTATTCAGGTACAGAAATGGAATAATCAAATGTAAAATAACGCTGCATAATCTTCATCATATAAATAATTCAATAAAATGAATCTTTATTGAACTTCCTTATGCACTACTAAAATGCTTTAAATGCTCCTAAAATGCTCAGACCTTAAAAACACATGCAGATGATAAACTTTCACTCTATAATGGTTCAATTCTGCTGTGACTCCACAAATCTCATCTATAATCCTAACTCAACATTGCTGCGATGTGACTATTGCAAACGCACAGATTGCAATATCAATGCTTAAACGATGTTGTGGAGCCCTAATTTATTTGTTAAAATATTAATAAAATAAACAGATGAAAATGTTTTCCAGATATATATTGCTGTAATGCAACTGAATTTGTAACTGACAGTTGTGTGCTACTTAAACCTGGAGCTAATGATAACCCATAAGGCAATATTTTGACACACTTACTGTAACAACTAAGATCACCAACTTCTGTTGCAACTTTTGTGAAAATATTTCAGAAATTGAGAAAAAGATACAGCTACAATCCGCATACATGTTCACTGTAAAAATTGCTGGGTTCCACACAATCGATTTGTGTTGGGAAAACATGACTGAACTAAGTCAACTTATTTGTTTTCCTAAATTGAAGTGGATTGAACATAAAACAATTTAATGGTTCCAACAAAATAAATCAAGAATTGTTTTGTTTTAACTCATTTTATAAAAGTAGTTTGAACTACAGTAAACATCATTTTTTTGAGTGTAGAGTACAATTAAAAAAATTGCACACAATTCATCCATGTTGTCCTAACACAAATCGATAAAGTTAACTATTAGCAATTAAGTGCATTGAACATAAAAAACTAAGTTCTTCCAAAAAAAATCCAAGAATTGTATTGTTTTAGTTCATTTTAAAGAAGTAATTTAACAAGCAACAAAAATTATTATTTTCTAGTGTATATAAACATATGCACAATTATAACACTCATGTTTATTTATTCATATTTTTATAAATTACTGCAACTGCTACTATAACAAATTAAAAAATGTAAATATCCATTGTTCATAATAATTTCTTCTGGTGTTTGGGTTAAAGGAAAATACATCAAATTTAAATAGTGTTAAATCTTATGGCAATATTGTGACATTAAACAACCCTGGTGACCAACATTGTGTCAACATTTGAGGAAAATGTATGGTTATGTCATGTTCACCAGCGAACAACCACCAGATGTCGCTGGTAAACACTCACTCATAAAACTACATATCTGCCTTCTTCTGGACTACATATGCATACATGCACTTCTCCTAGACACTCACACCTGCTCACTCATCCAGCTTGATTACATTTGCACACCTGAGGACTTTCAGAGACTGATTAACACACACTATTTAAGCCACACATTCACCCCTTCAGTTTGCCGAGTCTTGTTTATCTGTCAGGTGACATTACAACGCGTTATCCTGGTCTTGTTTTCCCGTGTTTTGTTCTTAGCCCTGTTTATCCTTGTCATCCTGTTTAGCCGCCTGCCTTACGACCTATTGCCTGTTTACTGACTACGATTCTGGATTGTCTACATATATCTGTTTGCTCCCGTATTGACCACTGCTTGCCTGACTGTG